ACAATCGACGAAGGGTGACAAAGGAAAGAAGAAGGTTAATTATAGGTTCAAGATCGGCTAAGTCAAATCCATGCCTCAAGTAGAGAAAAGGAGAATAACCTACCCGAAGTTATGCGAGTTTGATCTGCCCAAGCAACAGACTCGCCGTTTCACCATCAAAAATTGATGTTGTTTCGTCTCCGGTTGTTTTCCTCTTGCTTTGGCATACCTTCCACTGGACTGATACATTGTTGGTATTATTTATACACAACATTACTTCCATGAATCTTAACCCTTGAACAATTTCCATAGGGTCGCCCTGTTGATCCTCTGGGAGTTTCCTTGCTAATTCTTTTGCTGTTTCCTGATCATTCTCAATTTTATTGATTCTGTTTTGATTTTTCTAAGTTGTTGCTGTTGTTAGTAACTCCTCACTCATTATTGAAATGTCCAGTTCTTCTACTAGTATTGTCTCAGTTTGCTTATCCTGTCCTTTCCTAATTTTATTGTCTGACTCAACTTTAGTGATTTCCTCTTCCACCATCTCTTCCTGAGCATGATCACATGATATCATCAATTCTTCTATTTGGATCGAGCACGCATCGAGATCTAAAGTGATGAGATGGGATTCAGTGCTGAAACTGGGCTCATAAAACACATTCTTGGAGAGGGGAACATCCTTTTCCTCAGTTTCATTGACTGTTTTTAGATTATTATTGGTCGTAATCAACGTTCCTTCCAGTTGGAGGGTCGTACAATGGCGTCTGAGATCTTCGGTCGCGTTTCATCATTGGAGCTGACATCACCACACCTCTCTCTTTTCTCTTTGTGAACCCCTAACCGTCCTTTCAATTCACCTTCTTCTTCATTATCTTTCGCTTTTTCTACCTCAGTAGGACATTCATTCCGCGAAATGCTTTTATCAATCGCATCACAGTGTCTTCTGTGGTCGATCTCATCAGCATGTACTGTATTGGTTTCATTATTCGGATCGAATCCCTAGTCAGACCTTCTGTGACAATTACCCACTCTTTATCAACGATTGCACTCGTAGTTCCTTTTAGTGAGAACATGTCATCATCATCACATCTCAGCTTTCAGGGCTTGAACTTCGCATTAACTCTCGGATAACTATCGGATAACTCTCCTGTATCGGTCCTGACTTTGGCACATTCTTTTTTTTCGTGCTCTTGTATTTTCCAAACAAGTCAAAGCATTTAACATGATAACCTGCTACACTCTCGCTGTCACTCTCGGCTTCATCATCATTCGAATCCAGATCCTTTACCCAATCTTTCATGCTGATTTTTTGCTTACTAACACAAGCATTCATTTTTTTAGATAAAGGTATATCATCATCGTCGCACTCAAATTCTTGGGCTTGAGAGTTCATCTTGGTTCTCAGATGGCTCTTCTTCATTATCGTGGACTCCGGCACGATCTTCCCTTTCCTGTTCTCACTTTTCTCAAATAACCAGTGGCACCTAGGTTGACGGCTCTCTTCCTCACTTTTGTTATCGCTTTTTGCATTGCTGAATCGTGCCTTGGTGGGTTGGGGTACCTTCCTGATGTAATTGTTCTTCATTGGGCCATTCTTACCACAGAGTCTCTCCTTTCCACATTCAACACACTATTGGAATTTCGTGTCTGATGCCCCTGACTTGTTTTCATCAAAAACAGCAGATACGTTATACCTTTTCGTTAATTCTTGCACCTGGTTTTTCAATTTTTGAATGCGGTCTTTTAACTCTTTTCTTTTCTTTGCTTCTTTTTCGGCCCTGATTGCCGCTTTGAGTGCTTTCCTCAGGTCAGTTGCATTCCTAATGGCAGGTACAACTAATAAGTCTTTCCTGAGTCTAAGCACAATTACTCATTCAACTGCTTCCTTGTGGTAATCTCTCCTAGGGTAGACCTTCTCAAGTAGCTCCTGAAATTGTTGAACGTACTTAAGCATTTTTTCGCCCTCTTCTTGTTTTATGTCTTCCAACTCTGTCTGCCATTGGTGCCATTGTTCAATCATCTCAAAGTGGTAGACAAATGCCAGTATGAAACTCTCCTTATGGTCGTATTCATTGTTCCAATAGTTGAAACAGTACTGGTGTTTGTCATATCATTCTAACGCAGTTTTCTTCAAATAGCTGGCCACTCTATCCAACTTATCATCATCTGTCCAGTTGTTGCAGTCGGCGGCTTGGTTATAACGTTCTACCCATTTCCACGACTCTTTTTCTGGTTCACCTTTAAATTTAGGCAGTTTGACGTAATGATTTTCTTTTTCTCTGGTTCTTTTCGTCCTTATTCCTCGTGGAATAGTGACAGAATTTTTTGATTCTTTCTGGCCATTTTGACGTAGAGAAGTACAGAGAGTTTTCTCATCCACATACTCTATGATTTCCAACATTTTTGCCACTAATTTATAATCAAGGCAGATCTTGAGTGAATCACGTGTTTTCCAAAGAAGATAAGATTCGTTTGTTTTTTTTTCCTTTTAGATTATTGATAACAAATTTATCGTTCGCGCGCAATTTTATCAGGAGGGAAGGGGTAACGAGATGTTTAATCTCACAGTCACCACCAATTTGTCATATATCATTTCTACCTCAGAAGAAAGATAAAGATGGAGAACTAGTAGCAGGGAGGCACTTTAGATGGACAGGGCCAATGTGGTATGCTAAAGTTCCTAGAGGCATACAAAT